AAAAAAACTACAAAATTAATATATTACAATCGATATCAATAAATTAAAGGATAAATCGAAATTATCAATATATTTTTTATGGGATTTCAATATTAAGTATGGATATTTCGATATGTTGCTGCTAACGAGGACAGATAACTTTTCAATAATAACTTATGACATTGTATTTTAACTGCAGTAAATCATTGAAAAACTTTAAATTAAAAACAGAACATAAAATTCAAACCTTTCTCGCAAATATTTGACACCAAGAAAAATTTAAACTATTCATCGCAAACTTGCTTATTTCAATGAATTTTTCCTGTTTATTTTTTCAATGTTTTTTAAAAAATGGAGAAAAATAAAACGCAAACATAAGATTATATTCACTTCGGCTGAACGTATTCAATTCTCCTAGACATACAATCAAATAGCAGACGATAAACAAACGAAGCATTGCCTCAGGCGTTAGCTTTAGAATTTTTTTTTCGAAGATATTTGGAGATCTTTTCATGCTTTGCACTTTGAAATGCAGATTAACTTTAATGGGTGTGCCCGTGCTAAAGAATTTTTAAGTAACACACACGCACACACAAAAACAAAGAATGCATTCAGAGTAAACTTTTGGACTTTTTTAAAAAATAAAAATAAATAAAAGATAATGCATTGATGTAAAAAAACTGTCTCTTAAAAAAACTAATGAATTTCTTTCTTGCTTGGGGGGCGAATAATTTTGAAATAGGTTTAGAGCGCGAAATAAACTAAATTTAGTTTTTGGAATTAAAAAAAAAAGACAATAATTCAGCATAACACATGACAGATTAAGAATCAATGGTAAAATTAGTTGGCAGACAAATTCTTCATTACCCTATTTTTACTTCATTTGATGCAAGAGGACGCTCTTTTTTTTATCGCGAGCTTTCTTTCCCATCAATAACTAATTAAAAATTTAAATGCAGAAAAAATGAGTTCTGACAAACTGAGTAAGTCATGAAGATATCCATTTTGATGTTTCGAAAATTTTTTTTCAGTATACGAAACTTCATGGCTTAATTCAAGTATATCTGAACTAATTTTCAGGTAAACCTAGGCTATATCACAGTGATATAGCCTGTGTATAGTTTACATTAGTTACGGAGGTGAAAGTGAAAATTTCCACACGCGATATAGAGAGAATGTAAAAGCTGTTAATGGAGGTTAGAAAAAAAATTAAATATCGAGGCAACACAGGCTCGAACACTGAAAATATCTGCTTCTCGCTCGCATTTAAAATAGTGCTGACGAAAAAATATGTTTACTAATAGACAGATCGTGGGTTCGAGTGACTTTGCCTCGGAAACCTACCCTACTAGTGAGCGGCCTTCGTGGTTTTCCTTTCTATGTAACTCAAATTTAAGTTAGTTCCTTAAAAAAGTCCTCTGCGAAACATTCTCCAGAATGTATAATGCAATAATCCTGAAATCCCCAGAATGTATCCTGCGATCAAAGAATGTATCCTGTGATACATTCTTGTGTCTTCTAGGTTGGGTTAAAAACTACAAGTATACGAACTTGGACAGTGATATAGTCACACATCCAACATAGATTTGCTGCTCAATGATGCATTGTGGGAAAAAAGAAAATCGTAAAAAGGATGTAAATTACAACTCATGTTTCAAATATTTTAAAATTAAAAGTTAATCGATGTGGCGATTATGAAAAGAATTTACGTTATTTTGCAATTTGTTGTATAAAAGTAGTAGTAGTATTGTATTAAAAAGTTATATATATATAAATTTTCTGAAAAAAATGTTTGAGATTTGCTTTAAACCCGTGAATAAGTCTATAAATGAGCGCGTTAAGCCTATATATAAACCATTTTAAATCTCTGAATGTTTTTTGTGATTATATTTATAAAAACGGCACGAATTTAAATATACAATCTTAATGAGGTATTATAAATTGGTTTATCCATAAATTTAAAAAATGCACTTTTTTGCATATTTCAGCTCTTGGATATAAAATTATATTTCTCATTGGACAGTAAAAAAAGCCTTGCATTTAAATGAAGAGACCTTATATGCCTTTAATATACGGAATTAAAGAGGAAAATAAATTTAGCTGGAAAATCGATATGTTTAATTTTCATAATATGTTGTAAGTAACGGAAAGCGATTAGCAACTGCAGGTTGAGCAATAACGTGGATAAAGTATGTTAAACATATTTAATAAAAATAATATTTGTATTAACAAAGATTACGTTTTTATATTTTATACTATACATTAATAAACTAAATTTTAATAATTTATAGTACAATTATAAAAAATAAATTTTTTTTCTCCACTCTGCAGTGAACTATTATTTTAGCACAGCTTTAAATTAATTTAAAATAAATATTTTCACAAGTACGGAATTCGTTAAAAAATTATCACTAGTCGCAAGCAATATAATAATTTTTATAAATTCGACAACAGCTTTAACACAACTCTATAGGTTGACAATATCAATATTCAAGCAATTAAAAAAACGCATGCAATATCCATTTATTTCTTTCCTTTTTGCATGGAGATACAAATATTTTCTGATTTATTAAATCAATATTTCATTTTACTTCCTTTATTTTTAAATGAACTCAAATATTTGAAACTCGAGCAAGACTTTTAAGGAAATATCACTTAAAACCTGCATTTCCAAACTATAAGATGAAGTGAAAACATGCTTTGGTAAAACAAGTGCATGATTTATTTTGATTTAATGTGTCATAGTTATAAACTAAACAAGTCCACTAACAATTAGTTTCAAAATAGCAGATTTCAAACTTAAGAAGATGGTATAGTTATCAATTAACGAACTCCACTAACAATTTGTTTCAAAATGTGGTGGAATTAAAGCTTAAGAGAATATTTTATAGTTATCAACTAACTAACTCCACTAGCAATTTGTTTCAAAATATCATGGATCTAAAACTGAAGAGGACGCTAAACTGATGGAAAATTCCTTAACTCACATAAATAATTAATAATTTAAAGTTCATAAAAACCGAATTCAGGAAAATCTAAAGTAAACCAGGAAGTTTCAAATGCTGGTAAAAAATTCAAGGTATCAAAATGCAAACAAACTATGAATCAGGATTAACCAGTAGAGAAATTAACTTGCAATAATCAGTTTCCTGCTTGATATCCTGAAAACAATTTATTTAGCATGTTCGAAACATGGTACATCCTGCGTTTACCTGAAGTCACTTTTCTTTAATCTTGAAATTTTAATATAACAATAGAGATGGGACAGAACTCGCAATGAGAGGTATCTCCCGCACTATAGAGGCCTCTTACGAAAGATGTCGTAACTAAATATATATTATGAGTTTCGTGAACAAAAATATATTCGGTGTCTATTATTTCTAAACAAGTAATGGACAAATATCATTAGAGGGGGAACAGGATTTACCATGACTTGTTTGATCTATTATAGTTGACATTGTTTGTTGTTTTTCATGAATACAAAATTTTGATCCCTTTTAAGTTCCACGGATTTTAAAAGTAGCTCTCCCGATGTCATCAATCCTTAGCGTAAATTTTAGTTTTTAATATCAAGACACTTGAATAATATTATTGAAAGCTTTGTTATAACTGAATAGTCTGAGTTATTTAACGCTTTATTAAAACTTAATGGGTTCAATTATGAAATTTTTGTGATTAGCATTGCAAGAAGTGCGAAGAATTACTAAATCCGTGAGAGCAGTAATTAAATGCGTAAGAGAGAAGAGTTAGTAAATACTGTAAGTTAGAAACTTCGTCCAAGTCCAAGCAAGAAGTACCTAGTTACATTTTGAAATCGGAATTACATTTATACATTCTATAGTTTGTATTAAACACAATTTTCATGCAAAGCAAGAAACTAAAAATCAAAATTTTGAATGCAATACAAATTTTAAAAAAAATTCTCGTTTTGAAACGTTTGCGGTTGCAAAGAAACTTGTAACTAATTTTTTCCAAGATAGTAAGAAATTGATTTGTGAGACATTGGTGAAAATTTTAAAATTAAAATCTAAGTTGTACTTAAAACTATAAGTTCTGTTAATAAACATCAATTACACAACTAAATTGATATAATTAAAAATCCAAATTATGAAAGTATGACAAATTTTTTTTTTTTAAACTTTCAAAATTGTAGAAAAAGTTTCCAAAAAGTGCGAGTGCAAAATTTAAAGGAGAAATTCATGCAAAAATTTAATTGAAAGTTCCATTAAATAAATAAAAAAAAATTTAAAAAACTTATGTTCCTCACGATGTATAAATAAGACAAACCAGTTCACAATAAATCTATAAAACGATTAAGATGTTTTGAAACTTTCAAAATTGTATAAAAAACTTTTATGAAGTTTCCAAGAAGTGCGTGCGCAAAATTTAAAATGAAAATGCAAACTGTATAGATGATAAAAATTACATGAACATACTATTTCATAATCTACTTATCACACGAATAACCAAATTCAATATTAGAAATCAGTCATTCTTACAAATAAAATTTATACTCGGGAATATTTAAAACATAATACTTGATTATGAAAATGCAAAAACACAATACATAATTTCTACGATTCAATTAATTGCATTTAATATTTAAGTATTCGATAATATAACCATTATTCATAAACAAATTTTTTACGTACTAAACAATTATTTTTAAAGTTTTACAAAATATAAAATGTTAGAAAAATATAAAGTTAAAAGATCTTTAGAAAATTTAAGAAAAATCTCTGGAAAAATTAAAAAAAAAAAAAAAAACCTTAACTCAAANAAAAAAAAAAAAAAAAAAAAAAAAAAAAAAAAAAAAAAAAAAAAACAGTTGGCAATTTGATTTTGTTAAAAGGATAACACGAATTTAATGTTGAGAAAAATTTACTTTATAAATTGCATAAAAACATTGCTAATGAAAAAAAAAAGGTAGCAATAAATCTATTATAAAATTTATTTCATTAATGCTTCAAGAAAAACATCAAATTTATTTTTATAAAATAAATTTTAAAAAAATAACTTGCCTGTTAAAAACAGTAGCAATAAATCTATCCTCTTGCAAGATTGCTTCATGATTCCAAATCAAATAGAAGAAAACAGAAAAATCTTCCAAAAAACAGAAAAATCAGCTAAAAATATTTTCAGCTAATATTCCGATTTGCATAAATTAATACGCCCACGCGCGCACTGAAATGTCAAAATTGTGCAGGTCTCCAAAATCACGGGCCCTATGTTCTAGAAACAGCACATTCGAACGAAATAGTCCTTATGCGATTCGTATTTCCCCGCTGCAAGCACAATCTTCTGCCGTCCACGGAATGAATTTCATCTTCAGTCCACCCTCAACCGGCGAATTCCGTGTTTCCAGCGCCATCTATCGGCAATTTGAAGACATTGCGCATGTCCGTGTTTGATAAGGTTTCGGTTGCATTCGGAGCCGGCTTTCTAGTTCTTGTTTTGTGATGATGACCTTAAGTTAGTTTTGTTTATTTTATTTTTAAAGAAAAGCATTGTCTAGGGTTTTTTGATTCTGGAATGGTTTTGTTTGGATTGTTATTATTCCTTTTTTTTTTTTATATGAGCAGGTTTTTTTTTCTTTCTTGTAGGCGTTTACCTCTGTTATTATAAACCGGAGGAAAGTGCTCGTAAAATTATTTGTTTAATTGCTAGCTCGGTTAAGGCGCGCGCCGTTCGGTGAACTTCCGAGTTGAACTAAATGATCGTAGGAGTTTATGTTTTTATTTTTTATTTTACCGGAAATACTAAATATGGGTATATTTTTTTCCAAATGTATGCAGATTTTTGTTTATCTAACATTAGATATAAGTATGGAATGAAATTAAACATGAAATAAAAATTTACATTATGATTTCGGAAATCGCAAATGATATACAAAACTAAAATTAAAATTAAGATCTAAATGATTGATAACAATTGTAATGATCGTTAACAATGATTGAGGATAATTGATTTAAAATATTTGTTAATTTCAGAATTAAGAAAGCGATTTCCGCCGTTTTATTACAAAACCGTAGGAAAGTGATCGTTCTTTTATTGCTGGCTTAGTCAAGACGCGCGCCGATCGGTGAACTAAATAGTAGTAGCTGTTTAAAATTTCATTTTCAATTTAAATATTCTATTAAAAACCATTAATTCCATTATTTAACAGTTTCTATTCAATAATTGCTATTAAAATTATTTATTGTATAAACTTAAAAGGAATATTAATAATAAACTTAGAACAGTTCTCATAGTGATTTGTTTGATAAAATGAATGATTGCTATTGTATAAAATTACTTAAAGAATTAAATTCAAGATTCATTCAGATAAATATAGATTTATAAATTTATAAACACGGCATTTTAAATGAATAAAAAATTTCTGATAGATAATAAATCGTTAATTTATAATTAAATTTTTTCATTTGTTAGGAGTATTAAAAAACCAATTTTTACATGTTTTATGAATTGTAGGATAAATATCAATTATTTTTTTAAAAATAAAGATTCAGGTTATTTAAATAACTCAGAAAGTGGGCATTTTTCATTTACAAATAAAATATTCTTTTTTAATGGGGAATTAAGAATATTTAGAAGTTAATTTTTGTAATCTTGTACAGTATATAACATATTAGTAAAATACATATTTATTTCCAATGTAAAACCAGCATATATCAAAATGCTAACAAATAAGTAAATAAATAAAAAAGCTTCATATAACTTAACAGAAACGTAACGGAAAGAATCACGGAATTTACCCAGGTAGTTTTGACATTTGAAAATAGCTTTTTTTTGTTACATCTTTCAACTAATGTAAATTTCATAGCTTTTGCAAGTTTGTATTAAAGAATAAAACATTCTAGAAAAATCGACTTGGTATTACTAAATTTGTATACTTTATAACTTGGCATATGTGATTGATTAAGAGATTTGTTTTTAAATAGAAAATAGATTACTCGTTTTATTAACGAATTAACTTTCATAGTATCAAAAGCTCATAATTTCAAAATATTCACAAGACCAGTAAAAAAGCTTCCTTTTACAAATTAAATGAGAAGCAAGAATTCGAAGAAGATCACTAATTTGGTGATCAAATTTTGTAGAGAAGGATTTTAATATAATAAATAAGGGTAACTGGAAGAGCTTTGAAACGGTTAGGAACAGATAGCAAAAATTACATTAAGCGACCTTGACCTGTAACAGGCTGTAGTGCTCTGAAAGAGGAAGAACTATAAAGACATTTTTAAATAAATAATGTGTCAGTAACATCTACAGTTTTATTTGTTTTTCTCGTATATGAAAATCAAAAAAAAACTAGAAATGAATCATGCAAAACCTAGTATTTATGTAGATAAATTTTTTTAGAGTATTGTTATATTCTTACATTATTGTACTACTCAAAATAGACACTTCATTATGTGGTTAGTTCAGATTATTAAATTCCGATTAAGGCTGGTTAATTCGGATTATTAAATTTCTCTTTATTGTATTATTTTTTAATCAATTAAGATATCAGTGAGTAACAACAGTCAGACAAAAATTTTCATTCCGTTAGCAGATATTATGTTTCACAGTAAAAGCAATTTTAAACTGCTTATTTAATATAGCATTTTATTAAATATCAGTTAAGTCAAGATGTATATTTTACGTCAGTGAAGTGCATAATGAAGAGTTCTCCATATATATATATATATATATATATACAGTACCGCTCAAAAGTATCAGTACACCTAGAAACTTTTAAAAAAATGGCAAAATTCAAAGTGTCATAACTTCTTTGAAAATGATCAAAAATGCTTCTGCTTTAGCTCATTTTGAAGCTTAAAATCTTTACTTTTATGTACTTTTATTGTTTTTAATTAATATATTTTGCAACTATTAACAATTACACTCTAAACAATCATAGAAAATTGTATTAATTTTTTGTGAAGTTTGACGCGATGTACGGGCACAAAGGGGTTAGATATTGTTAATTTTCATCATACCATTTAAAAATTTGGACGTTTAGCTTCCATTTAAAAAAAAATTCCAAAAAAACATGTTTTTTGACGAAGTTATTGTCAAATAAAAAAAAAGTTTTTTTTTCAGAATTTAATGATTTTTCAGCAATTATAATGAATTTTAGTGTAATTATAATATGATATGGAAATTTTTTAATTAAAATAAATTAAAATTAAATATTTCTCGATAATATAATACAAAAATGTATGTACATTTTTGTTTTCAAATTTTTTCTGAGAAAAATACGAAAAAATAAATTTCAAAATATTAAATTGTAAACGTTGATTCTTATTTCATTATTATATTTTCCAAAAAAAAAGTTAAAATTGTTATAATAAATTATGAAATAATATTATCGAGAAATATTAAATTTTAATTTATTTTAATTAAAAAATTTTCATATCATATTAACATATCATCATATCATATAATCATTACACTAAAATTCATTATAATTGCTGAAAAATTATTAAATTGTGAAAAAAACCATTTTTTTTATTTGACAATAACTTCGTCAAAAAACATGTTTTTTTGGAATTTTTTTTTAATGAAAGCTAAAAGTCCAAATTTTTCAATGGTGTAATAAACATTAACAATATCTAACCCCTTTGTGCCCGTACATCGCGTCAAACTTCACAAAAAATTAATACAATTTTCTATGATTGTTTAGAGTGTAATTGTACATAGTTGCAAAATATATTAATTAAAAACAATTA